CAGAGAGGGAGGAGAAGGCAAGGTGGAGGAAAATTGACAGCCACAGAGACTCGTATACTGACTGGGGCGCTCGCGCGCAGCGCAGGGGGGGGGGGGGGGGAGGAGGAAGTGAGGCCGCGAGTCGATGCAGCACTCGTTTTACGGCAGCCGCACGGAGCGGCGGGTGAATTTGAATTATGATAAACTGCGCAGCCGTGCACCTCGCAAGGCCACGCCCCCTGCCGCCCCTGCCCCGGTCACTGCGGACGAGACGCACGATCGCGACCCACCACGGGCACGGGCTCGGCGGATCCGCCACCGGGACTATGACTCTACTGCGACTACGATCTTTTGGTGGTCACCGAGCTCCGACTGGCCGGACGCATGGGAGGGAGAGCAGTGCGACAACAACGGTACCGTCTACCCGACACTGCCGGAAGGACGGCAAGTTGCCCCGAACGCCTATCGCGCGGCCGACGCTCGCGCGCTCGCGGCGGGTCGGGCACCTCGCGGCCGCGGCGCGAAGAGTGACCGGGACAATAGAGCCCGCGGCGACACCGCGCGCCCGGCCCGCGAGGTACAAGGCAATAACGCAGTCAAGGCAATACTCTATACCGCCACTACTCCTCTCCCCCGCCGTAAAATTCGCAGAGCCAATTAGTCAGGGTGCCTGGGCCTGTGGCGGTGCCGCGGGGCGTGGCGGGGCGTGGAGGGGCGGGGCGGGGCGGGCGCCGCTGAACAGCGGGGCCTCCCACTGGCCTAACGGGGTAACCCGGCCCGAGGCGCCCGCTGGTGCGCCCGCCGGTGCGCCCGCCGGTGCTCCCGCTCCGCATAGTGTAGCCCGGCCCCAGCCACGCTCTACACCAAGGTCAGCCCAAGCACCTGGCGGCGCTGTTGTGCACCGTGTGTAGTGGAACGCCACACGTCGCAACGAGTCGGGAAACACGTGCGGCCGGCGGGCGCGGCGAGGAGGAGGCGAAGTAAAGGAGACGAGAGTCCTGTACAACTGCCCTCTGCCCTGCGCAGCCCCCGCCCGCGGCGGGCGCCCGCGCGGCTCACAAGCTTGCTCAGCTAAGCGCCGCCGCGAAGCCCCACGCGGCGGACAACAACATGCAGAAGCTCGCGGGCGGGGCGGGGCGGGGCACGCGCGTTCATTTACAAACACGCCGGGTGCGCGCCCGACGACGCGGCCTGCCGGCCAGGTCACGAAGCTCCCCTCTGCTGCTCCGCGCGACTCGCAGCGCCGCCGCTGCCCAGTCAGTCTCTGCCGGTGCCAGTCTAGCGCGACACGGATTTCGAAACTCTCTCTGCCCCTCGCCAGCTCCTCCATCTACCTCCTCCTTCTCCTCCTCCTCTCACCCAGCCCAGAGCGAGGCCGTCGTCCGACAATCGCTATAAATCAACAAGAAATCCTCCCTCCGTGAAGAAGGCGAATTGCTGCGCTCTGCTGTACCGAACCCGACTCGGACCCGGCCCTGATGACGGGGCTGATGACGGAGCTAATGACGGAGACACGACGAGCAGTCTCTCTCTTTCTCTCTTCTTGCCCACTTCGATTAATCGAACAAATTCGTTTCCGCTCGTGGCGAGTTTCCCTTTTTGTTTATTTTTTTTTTCTGTCGGGGAGACCCAACGCGGTTGAGCGACACATACAATCGCACGCGAGAGCGCGTCACGGGCAGCGGTCGGGGGGCCTGTGACGTCAGAGCGCCCCCCACTGCCGCTCGCCGCACAGTATGAGTAGCCGAGCGGCCCCCTCCTGCTGTCGGTGCCCTATTATTGCACGTATTCTCGTTAATAAACGCGCCAGATGGAAACGTGCCGAGGTTCAACCCACCCCGCTCCAGCCAAAATAGACTGAGCGCCGCGCCGCTGCACTTCGGGGCAGGACTGCTTGTCCAGGTGACATGGTACTTACGCTGTCGATCTGCAGGGACGGCCGGTGGTGCGGCTGCCTGCCCGGGGGAGGGCCCTTGTTGGGCACGATGCCGTTGGCGCGGTGGTCGGCGCCGCCGTGCTTGACGGCCTGGCCCGGGTACTGGCCGCGGCCAGAGTAGTTGGGCTTGCCGTCGGCGGGCTTGAGGAAGCCGCCGCGGTGCGCGGGCGGCGGCGGGTGGTGGGCTCTGTGGTGGTTGCTGGAGCCGGGGGCGGGCCGCTTGAACTCTGGGGGGCCGGGGGCGGCGCTGCTGCCCGCCGCCCCCGACGCCGTCCCTGCGGTCGCCCCCGCCGCTGCCGCAGCAGCGGCGGCAGCGGCGGCGGCCGCCTGGCCAGGACCGCCGGGTGTGGGAGGGCCGTTGCCGTCGATGCCGAAGAGGCGCAGCGGCTCCTGCATCAGGTGGTGCTTGACGACGTTGTAGTTGCCGAGCGTGTCGCGGATCTGCTGCGTCACCCGGTCCGCCGATGAGGGGTTCACCTGCAACATCGTCAAACAAGAGGTCAGCCAGGCTGTCGCTGCTATGGTCGGCGCCCGGGCGGGGCCGGCGGCCGGTGTGATGTGGTCGCCAACCTCGGCGCCGCGCCGGGAGGGGAGGAAAGCGCTCCGGACGGAGGGTGGGGGAGAGGGGACTCTTCTGTGCCAAATAAAGGCCGGGCGCCGACGACACCCCCACGGTAAAGTGGTCCGCTGAGCCGAGCGGCGTGCACCGCCAATGGGATGAGCCCCTCTCCTCGCCCCACCCCGCCTCACCCGCCCCGCGGTCACGTGGACGGGTTGCGTAATCCATTGTGAGAGGGACGCGATGCGCGCACAGAGGCAGCACAAACGGAACGGACACATTCTACTGCAGCGGGCTAAACGTTATGAGCAAAAGAGAGGCGGGCACAGGGAGAGAGAGACCCTCTCCTCGGAGGATCAACAAAAAAGCAAAAAAAATAAGATACGGCGAGACGACTCAACCCCTCCCCACCTCTCCCACCCGGCACCTCTCCACCTCACAGACCACCCTACCTCTCCACCCACCCCCGCCGAGCCCAGAGCGTCCAATATCCACACCCCCGCGCGTCCCCGAAAAAGAGAACAGACACAAACGCAAGGCAGGCGAGGGGAGGGGTAAAACGGGGGGAGGGGTAAAGGGCGATCAGAACGCGCCATCCTCCTTCTCCTGGCGGTATTCACGACTGACTTCGCCCCCATTGCAAAGAGCCCCCGTCACCACTCTCCGCCCCCTTCCTCCCCCCATTTATAGACGAGCCTCCAGCCACTGCCATTAGCGCAGGCGACCGGGCCCGCAGCCGGGCAGGCCGACGGCACGGACAGACACGCATGACGCCGCGTCGGGTAGCCGTGGCTGGTGTCAAAACCCAGAATACGAGATGAGTGACCTGACTATGATGAGACCAGCGAAGGGAGGAGTGGGGGGGGGGGATGGGCAGGGTAGAGCGAGGTGGAGGGGAGCAGGCAGGCAGGCGGGCCGACAAAAACAGAAAAGACCGAGATTGAGAGGGTTGGTGGAAGGGGTTTGGCTACAACCAGAGAGGAGGTGGGCTGGGCGACGGGCAGAGGGGGAGGAGGGTAGCGAGGCACCTGCTTGCCTGCCATCCCCCCTCCCCGCTGCTCCTCCTCCTCCTCCTGCAGCAGGCTCAGACGGCAGCGACGGTCTGGTGCTGGCGGGCAGGCGGGCGCCCGCCGGGTAGGCAAGCGGCGCACACGCGTGCGCACCGGACGAGCGGTTGCCTACCCCGCGCCCGCCACCGCCACGCTTGGGAGGAGGGCAAGGAAGACATCGCCGTGGTGCACAGAGTGTGTACTGCGCACGCGAGGCGAGACGCGCGAGGTGCCGCCCCATAGCGCGACAACAGACGCTATGGGCAGCGCGACAAACTCTGCCCAAGGCCAGCACATCGCAGAGCAGCCCAGCCATTTCCGGCGGCGGCGGCGGCGGCGGCGGCGGCGGCGCAGCAGCAGCAGGACGAGGAGGAGGAGGAGGAGGAGGAGGAGGAGGAAGAGGAGGAGGGAGAGGAGGAGGAGGGTGTAGCAGCAGCGGTACCGTGCCGGAGCCTAGGGGCGTTAAGGGCTTTGTCCTGCACCAGAGGTCCTGCCAGCAGGCGGGGACAGCGACCCGGCCCGGCCACCAGGAGCGGCGCGCGGCGCCCGGACGGGTCAGCGCCCCGAGAGAGAGAAAGAGAGAGAGAGAGGGAGGAGAGACGTAGAGGGATAGAGATAGAAAGAGAGATAGAAGAGAGGGAGAGAAGAGAGAGGGAGAGAGACTGGGGGGATCGGAGGCAGTGCCCTGCCGGCCTGGCATGCCCGGCGCGGCGCCCTTGTCAAGGACGACCTACATTGTCACACACAGACGCGCGCGCGTGCACATACACAACACACATACCGCTCGCTCGCTCGGTTATAGAAATCCCTCCACGATCCCTCTCCTACTCTGCGAGGAGGATGTGTCCTTGCGGTGCTGCGCCGCGGCGGCGTAACGGTCCGTTCGGTCCGAGTCATGCTCATCGGAACGGCAAGTCCTGCGCGCAGCCCGCGCCGCCGCCATGTTTCATTTATTATGAAACCGCGCGGCGCTCCAGAGAGATCCTCCAGAGCCATTCCCTCACACTCCAGCGCGCTATGGGGGACGGCGATAGCGCCTATCAGTCAGGACGGTGCGCTCGCCGCGGGGGCGGCGCGGGGGCGGCGCGGGGGGCGGCCCGCACCCAAAGAGATGACGTTATCAGTCATGATGTGTATTGGCAAGACGGCACGGCGGCGCGGCCAGGCTGCGAATGACGCGCGTTTCGCAAACCGGAGAGAGAGACAGACAGACTGGAGCAAGGAAGAAGAAGGAAAATAGACAGAGATAGAGAGAGGAGAGCAGAGAAAAAATAATATGAGGACTGCACATCAACCAGCAAGGAGGCTGAGAAGGGGGTGGAACAGCATGGCGAGGGCGGTGTGGAGGGGGAGGAGAAAAAAAAGACAGAGACGGAATATAAATGAAAGGGATGAAAAAGGAGGGGAAGAGCGAGACTGGAAAAGACTGACATATTCTTGTTGCACGTCTGCGCGCCTTCATCGTGCCCGGCCACCGCGCCTCTCCAGAGCCTCCAGGGCCCCAGGGCAGTACAGCGCGGAAATAGAAATATGAAAAAGAGAACCCACTGCGGTTCTGCACCACCAGCAATTATTATTTTTCGGCAAAATATCGGGCAGACAGCCGCGCTGTACTACAGCCAGGAGGCCATGGCGAGGAACAAGACCGGGCAGACAGCACGGCTAGGCCGCGCGGCCGGCCGCCACACTTTCACTCCAGTGCAGCGGTGCGGAGAGGGAAGGGGAGGAGAAGAGAGGGAGGAGGAGGAGGAGGAGGAGGAGAAGAAGAAAGGAGTGAGGAAATGAGAGGGAGAGGGGGATAGAGAGGGACGGATAGAGAGAGAAAGAGAGGGGCCGAACAGAAGCGCCGCCAGCGGCATAATCAAACTCGACCAACACTAATTGTTGCTAATAAATCAGCAAAACTAATCCAGTCGAACTCTTTACCGCAGCGGATCGCAGTGGAGGGGCCCGGGGGCAGTCTCTCAACCAGATGAGCGTTACGCGGTTATACCCCCTCCCGCCCCCTCCTCGCGGCTAAACGCGCTCGCCTGCCCTGCGTTGAGGGCGTCGTGCGCCCACATTCCGATCACATGCGAGGTCTAAGCTCATGGGGCTCTTACCTTGCCTACCCCAAACTATCATCAAATAATTTTGGCCAGAAGAGCGTACATCTACCTCACGAGTGTATTACCTCCCAAAAGCAAAACTCGTGCTGAGGCAACATCGTGTCGTCGCCGTCACGCACGGAGAGGTCACCCCGCGCGTACCATACAATCTGCGATGGAATTACATTAGCAAAGAGGGGAAAAAAAAGGAAACATGGCCCACAAGTTGGCGGACAGATCTTTCCACCTTTCTACGACACAACATGTCAACGTCTCTCACAATAAGTCCCCACTGCAAAAAGCATACAGTCCCCGACCTTTATACTTAAACTTCTGGATGGACGCGTATAATTGACTAGCTTCTTTCGGATACGGCGGAAATAACGCAGATGCAATGGGGTATAATTTATTAATGGTCACTCACCCATTTAATGGGAGCCAACATTTCCCTCGGTGACGGCACTCGTCGGAGCGCCAGAGTGACCAAATCCACATAATGGCACATCCTAGTCCACCTTCGGGTGGTGGTGTGGTGCGCCTTCGCACGGAAAGGGTCCTAACTACACTACTACCCCTTGAGTCGCCCTAAAAGGTAAGGTGACGGCCCACCGCCACCGCCGCCCGCCCCGGGGGTAGCGAGCGGTGCGGCAACAGGTTGGCCGTGCTGTGCCAAACCCATTGCCTATTCACGAACTCGCCGCGGCTCGGCAGGCCCGGCCCGGCCCCGCCCACTAAACGGGAGCACACGCGGCCCACAGTGGCCCACGGCGCTGTAATGACTGGCCGAGGCCTCACCTGTCTCATGGCCTGGGACGGACGGGGTGTTCCGCGCGGGGGCGGCGCGGGGGCGGCGCGGGGGCGGCGCGGGGGTGACAGACTGTCGACAGGGCGGGGCCGCCGGCAGAAGGGTAAGATTGATAGCGGAGACGACTTGAATGAGACAAGGGAGGTGCAGAAAGAGGTTAGGGGGCCACAATAAAGATGGAGAGAGAGACGGCGAGTGAGAGAGCGAGAGAGAGCTGGGCTTGTGGAGGGATCAATACGAGGGAGAGAGAGAGAAAGAGGGAACAGGGCGGCGGGTGGGCGGAGGGGGTGCCAAAGGCGCGGGGGTCAGAGTGGTGGGGCAGGAGGCGGGGGTGAGATGGGGCGGGGCAAAACACGGCAGACACACAGAGCCGCGCGGCCCGCCGCGGGGCGTCCTGCAGCAGAGGGAGGGCATCCAAAGGCGTTCTCCAATACTGTTCCGGCCGCATGGGGCGGGAGTCGCGGCAGCAGCGGTCGTGGTCACAGTGTGGTCACACCACACGCCGCCCCCTCCACGGCGCCCCGCACGACCACCACGGAACGAGGACACGACACAAGAAAAAGCCATCAATCAGCCCTTGCCTCGCTTGCGCTGGAGTTGGGGACCCAGCCGGGCCCCGGCCGGACAGTGTCAACCGAAGTCACGTTCACGTTCGGCCTGGCAGTCGATGGCCGATAACATATGTGGCAGCCCGCCTCGCGCGCACACCGCACGGCCACTCCCGTCTCGTCTGCTGCTGCTGGGCTGGAAGTTCGCACAGGAGGGAGAGAGGGAGAGAAAGGAAAGAGAGTGCGCGTGAGAGTGAGACAGAGGAGGGAGGGGAGGGGGCAGTGTTGCTGCGGCTTTTCACAAAGTGTTACGTGGCGGGTCGGGGTGATGGTGTGGACATGCGCCCGGCGACAGCAGCGCCTTGAAAACGGTAGGTGGAAATATCGACGGCAAAGTTACGCGGGTGTTTCAATCCATGTCTCATATGAAGGTGACGTCATTGACGGAGCGACAGCAGCGAAGCCTTTTACGTTATCAAACAAAAATTTTCCCGTATGGATTTGGGACCGACCAACGCCCCTCCCCTTTGCCCCTCCATTTCCTGCCCTACTGGACCGAGCTGCACACCGCGTCACAGCGTGGGACTGGTTCGTCCTAGAGGGAAAGGAGAGGGGGTGGGGGGCGGCGCAATGACAGCCAGCCTTGTCCCAAAGGAAAAGTAACAAGCAGCCCCCGCGAGGTGTGAACCGGCCTCGGACACACTGGGCTGGAGACCGTCTCCACACACTTGACATTAAGGCAGGGCATAAATTATTCTCGAGAGAAAATTACGTTGACGACACTTATTTAGGAGCAAACATTACGCCCCACACAACTCAAACAGTGTGAGTACAACTACCCACACAGTGTTGTGCAAACACTAGAGTGTTTATAGAGTTAAAGTTTAGTGGAAGTATACTTAACAAAGTTAAAAATAGTCTTATTTTTACATTACGTTTCCGCGTTCAGAAACTGGTTTGAAACGCCATGTCACAACTTATAAGTTGGAGCATTCAAATTATTATTCGACGGAGAATCCGGAGCATTAGGTGTAACCCCAAAATGCAGCAAAAGCGTAGGACCATTAAATCCTTTAGATCCCCCAATTTTCTTTGGCAATTTGTCATCAAATAAGCTCGACTGAATTTACGGGGCGCGGGCACAAAAATACAGATCATCCTCAAATCGTAAAAAAGTTTGCGTTAAAGGTTGAACGTGTACACACTACACAGGCGGGTCTGGAGTCTCGCCGCGCCAGGTTGTTGTGTGTCTTACTTGCGGTCGGCTCGGCCGGTGCGCCGCCCCGCGAGCAGCTCACCCATTCAGCCTTGCAGGGGGGGGGGGGGGGGCTGGCCTCGCTCGGCCCCGCGAGCAGCCCGCCGCCGCCGCGGTCGGCAGACACCGCCGCGCAGACTTTCGGCAGACTATAACGCCGCCGCTAACGCCCAAGAGCGTGGCTGCGGAGCGGCGCAAAGGCACACAGCAGCAGCAGCAGTGATTGGGCAAACGCGAGGGGGATACGCCCAGTACTCTCGACAGCGACACGTACGCGGAAAATAAAAGAAAACCGAGACCGCGAGCAGCACAGCCGGGCAATCCCACACGTGTTGATACGATCGCATATGCCTGCATCATATAGCAGTCAGGTAATCTTGATGTGTCCTGGAGCCACCGCGACTGGGCGGCAGCAGCAGCAGCCGCCCAGTGCGAGCGCCGCAGCCCCGGCGGCGGCCGTGATCCGGGTCACATCCACCTGTGCGTTGCCCCCACCGCGCCACGCCGCGCCGCCAACAGCGCAAACACGCAAGCCCGCGACTCCCGCCGTGACATTTTATGTCACACGGAATATAAACTTTTTCGGAAAAGCGGGTCGCTTCTCCAGACCTTACCCTCCCTCCCTCTGCCCCTCCTTCTCCTATGTCGCTCACCCCGGTGCTCGTAATAAAAACATGAGTACTACGTACACCTTGAAAAATCATTACCAGCTGTGACAACTATCGCATGGCTAGCCCATCAAGAGATAACCAAAAAATTAATTGCTGCGGCAACATTCATACATTGTTGTATGCATGTGGAGTGGATACAGAAAATTTAGTAAGGCCTGCTTGGCTCGCCACTTCGTGCTGATCGTCTCAACCATCATTTCATGGTTGATTCTGAGCTAAGCATATGGTGGTTGCTTAGACAGACAGATGGATGGATAAAAAGATGGGTAGATCGATGGATGTGTAGATAGATAGATTGATTTCAGGGCTAAGGCAATGACCGGCCCACTGCCGGAAGAGCAGGAAGTGCCGCGCCGAAGCCAAGTGAACGGCCTCAAGCAAAGAGACGAAGAGGAGGAGGGGGGGGGGGAGTTGTAGCGGGCACGAGAAGTACACATCGACGAGCCGCGTCGAACTTTATGTACCAGCGTCCGCATTATACTTAATGTACTCTCTGGCGCGTCAATGTACTCACCCGGACGGGTGCTCCGAAGAGCGGCGCGCCGGCAGCCTCGGCCTCGCGGTCTGCCTGGGCTTGGGACGACATCTGCGCGCGGGCCAGGCGGTCGCGCTCGCGCAGCCGGTCCCGCTCCACGCTGCAACAGGAGAGAGAAAACAGTCAGGCACATGGCACATACACGGCATCGCGCCACGGCTCAGCGCCGCGCGTACAGGAGAGGGGCTGAAACCCCCGCGGCCCCCGGGGCAGAGATGCTGTACCGCACGCACAGCCTATACGCGCTTACTGCGGTGCCTTCTTCAACTTCTTCAACAAGGGTTAATACGACTGCTTGTTCATAGCGAACTGGAGCCACCCATTTCTCGGGTCACGCAGTCAGGCCGGGTCCGGCCCATCCCCTGCGGTAGGCTAGTGCCGTCCCGTCCGTGGGTTCGCAAATGCTGGCACCCCTTCTGCACTCTGTTTTAGCTCCGGCGGTGCACAGACTTACATCGCTAGTCACCATCGCCTAGCGGCGGTATATTCCAGGCTACAAGCGTGGCACAGTAGGGACGGTAATCCGAGCCCAGGCCAATGCTAGCCACCCGGTGTAGGCAGTGAAGCTACCTACGTGACCACACTAAAATACTGAGCGACGCACATTGTGCCACACAGGCGGGTCACCGAGGAGGGGCGTCCCGGACCGCGACCTCGCACCGAAGTGTCCGGCCTCCCTATTGGTCCCGGGGGTCACCCCCCCTCCAAAATCGGTGAAGGCTACGGAGGAAAATAATTAGTAGACAGGGACAAAAATTAAGAGATGCGTGGTGTGCCCTCCTCCCCCCTCCCCTGCAGCCGCCCAGCC